GGCCGAACATGCTGAGCATGTTCGGCCGACCCGAAGCCACCCGATGTACAGCTGATTTCAGCCAATGTACGGCTGAAATCAGCCGTACCAGCCTGAAGTGAATAGCCGAACAGCGTTCGGCTCACTTCACTTAAGGTCGGTCTTTCACTCGGCTGCCTACACCAGCTTAGTGAATAGACCCCATAGACAAGAGGTATATTTAGCATTGACATTTCTGAAAATGGTTGTCAAATATGTTTGCCTTGTATAGATTGCTTTATTTTTACAGGCAGCTCCTTAATCTTCCTGTTATCTAATTAATTATTCTGGTTTCACAATATATGAATACTTTTTGTGTACATTATCATCTGTTTAAGAAACATCTGATTTTTTTAGCAGAATAATTGTCAGGGAAGCCACATATCAAAATGTGTGATGGCTCCATGAATAATATAATTTTGACCTAGCACATGAAAAAAAATCCTTCATGCAAGAACAATGCATGGTAGTTTAAAGTCATTAGACGTTAAAGGCTCACATTATCCAAGTAAAAGTGTTTCAGTTTTGTTGGATTAGAAAGGGTGAGTAGGACCTGGAACTTTAACCTAAATTCTTAAAATTATTTTTTTTCTTTCCTTGTGTGCCAAAATTAACTTGCTGATGTAGTATGTAATAAATGCAGTTTTAGCTGTGTTGTTAAAATGGTATGTGTTTGTGAAGGTTTACAATGCTAGTCTGTCTTAAATTTCCTTTAAAAATCTATTTGTGGTTAGCTTATTTAGGGGTCTATTCACGAAGCTGCCGAAGGATCTGGCCGTAGCTTCGGTCGATCCTTCGGCTAGCTTCGGCTCCAGGACCTCAGCCGAGCCGAACGCATATGCATCGGCTCGGCTGAGCCGTGCTGAAAGCCGAAGCTGGCCGAGCGGCCGCTTGGCCTGCTTCTGACAGCTGGGTGGAGCCAGCCGTGATCTCCGGCCACTTGCAGTGAGATCAGCGTCCCTGGTTACCTGCTAACCAGGGACACTGATCTCCAAACAGCAAACTCTCCCTGGCGCCCCGGGAGTCTCCTGCTCCCGGCCGCCAAGGAGAGAAACACTGCAGTGTCCTTTTTTCTTTATTCTGACACGATTGATGTCAGAATAGAAAAAAAAAAAGAAAAAACTATTTTTCCCATTGAAAAGCATTGGGACATTACTATTGGCTATTTCAATTTGCAATAGCCAATAGTAAACTAGCATTGTACCCGCCCTCTGC